TACCTGACCAGACTCAGCAACCGGAGGAGACTCAGTAGTCAGTGTGTACAGGCTCAATCCCGGCTGACGGGTAAACGTGGCCAAGTGTCGGCCCGTGCGAGCACACGTACAGTGGGTCACCCGCTGACTTGCAGGAGTGAACTGGTCAACCCCCCGATCATGTAGATCAGCTCCACTCACCAGGTTCGTAGAGAACGAGGGGAGGTAGAGACCTGACAGGGTGCCAGAGGGGACTGCCAGACACGGTAAGACAGTGGAGAAGCTAGCAAGCACAGGACCCCCAGAGGGGTCCGCCAGGGAGACCGCAACCGGCTGACTAAGCGGCGTAAGCGTGGTGCCGTCTCGAAAGAAGGAGCGGGAAGCACCCGAGTCAAGGGTAAAGGTGTGTAAGGCCTGAGCCGACGTGGTACCTGAGAGAGCAGACTCACCAGCACTTGGGGCAGCAGACGCACTAGCACCTAGAGCAGCAGCCTCACCAGCACCTAGAGCAGCAGCCTCAATGCCCGGGTCAGGCGGAACGCACAAGTAACAATCACCCTCATCACTAGTAGACACAGCATACATGGCAGAAAGAATAGCATCATAGTCAAGATCAAAGATAGCAACCCCCGCCCTAGACAGCTCTCCCCAGCGAGGGATCTCAGTGGCGTCAGGGAACTGATGACGCCAAGCGTCCGTCAGGCGGCCGAAGCAGCGCTGGGTGGAGTGCGTGCCCCCGCACTGCTCACCGGCGTGGTTGCCTGTACGGATGACGTAGGTGCAGGGACCAGTACCCCCACCCCGCTGGCGTCCAGCGTACCACTCACGAAGCTGCTGAGGGGACAGGGTCTCACGACTGCGCTGCTGCTGCTGGCGCGGACCACCACTGGAGCCACTCCTCTGCGCAGAGCCGCAACCAGCTCCACCGCTGCCTCCGCCGCCTACGCCACCTCCGCCGCCTCCGCCACCTCCGCCGCCTCCGCTCCCTCCGCCACCACCGCCGCCTCCTCCGCCTCCACTGCTCCCACCGATACCTCCACCCCCGCCACCACTCCCACCTCCACCCCCACCCCCTCCACTGCCTCCACCCCCACCTCCACCGCCCCTGCCAGCCCCTCCAACGCCCTTGCCCCCCTTGCCCTTGCCAGTGCGGCGTCTCCTGCTAGGGGCAGATGCAGCGCCGACCGACTCGAAGCCAACAAGGTCGGCCGCAGCAGCAGAAGCAACAGAGTTCAACACGGGGGAGGGAGAACACCACTCAAAGACGGGGGTGCGAGGGTCACCACGAGAGGCTCCTACAGCGACTATGCTCTTCTTTGCTGCTAGGAGGCGCTCCTCGAGGAGGTCAACGGTGAGTGTGGTGGGGCAAACTGAGAGGAAGCGGTCCCTAACTAAGCGAAGGGAGTCAGGGAGCCGGGTGACTATGTAGTAGAGGGTGATGTACATGGGGGGGGGGGGGGGGGGGGGGGGGTTCTTGGCACAGAACTCAGCAAGAAGCGTAGCGCGGTAGCGAGTGTTGCTAGTGCGAAGGTGCGTAATGAGGTCAGCGACTGTGGGAAAGGCAGCACAATCAGGGAAAAGGTATGGTAGCATGAGGCGGCTAAGCGCAACAGTGGCAGGGGAAGAGTAGCGTGCAACTACAGCGTCGTACAAGGTCTTAGCACTCTTGTACTGGCTAAAGTGCGCACGCTCAGTGGTCGGTAAGTGGCGACGCACAGCAAGACGGGCAGCAGCATCGCGCGTGGCCCACTGTGAGCGAACAGTGCTGTCAGCAGTAGCAGACGGGGCAGGGGAGGCACCAGAGGTGAGATCGAACAGGGAGAGTCCGTCTGCCCTATCGCACTGTAGGATCAGCTGGAGGTCATCGACCCAGACCTGAAAGTCAACACCACGACCCTCAGTATCAAAGGTAAGGACACTGGGGGTAGCCATGACTGCAGTGGCCTAGCAGGAAGTGATCTCACCAGTCCAAGGAAGTAGGGCCGGGGCGCGCTGGTAGGAACAGTAGCGGCTCGACGGCAGGGCGGCTCAGCGGCTCGGCTGCTGGGCGGCACGGCGGCTCGGCGGTTGGGCGGCTTGGCGGCTCGGCTGCTGGGCGGCTCGGCTGCTGGGCGGCTCGGCGACTCAGTTGCTGGGCAGCGCGGCGGCTCGGCGGCTCGGCTGCTCAGCGGCTCGGGTGTTGGGCGCCTCGGCTGCTGGGGGGCTGGCGGCGTGGTGGCTCGGCTGCTCAGCTGCTGGGCGGCTCAGCGGTGAAGGGGCTGGTAGAGGCGGCGACGGGGCCGCGAAGAGCGGTGACGGGGCCGCGAAGAGCGGCGACGGGGCCACTAGGGACAACGACAGGGCCGCTAGGGTCGGCGTCAGGGCCACTAAGGGCGGCAAGGTGGCCGCGACGGGGCCTCCAGGGGCGGTGACGGGGCCGCTAGGGGCGGCGACGGGGTCGCAGAGGGGCCAAGAGGGGCGGCGACGAGGTCGCGAAGGGGCCGTAAGGGGCCTAGAGGGGGCGGCGACGGGGCCGCAAGGGGCGGCAACGGGGCCGCGAAGGGGCCGCGACGGGCCTAGAGGGGCGGCGACGGGGCCGTGAGAGGGGCCGTGAGGGGCCGCGAAAGGGGCCGTGAGGGGCCTGAGGAGGGCGCGACGGGCCGCTAAGGGCTAGGGACGCGACGGGAGGGAGGGCATATGGGGCGCGACTCGGGCAGGAGGGAAGCGCGCTTCGGGCAGGAAAAAAAATCGATTTTCAGTGGTGGGCCCTAGGAAACGTTCCCACTAGGGAACCTGCTCTATACCATGTGAAAGAACAAGGAATGATTGCATTGAGCAGCATGAGGAGTACAAGTAGGAAACCCTAAAGTGTTGTACCCCATATGAGCTACCCCACTACAGCCTACACAGACTAAAGCATATGAGTTTGACAAGCGGAAGTCACATCCAACCTCCAAAACTCCACTTAGGCTCGCCCTCAGGCCATTGTGGGTCTAAGAGGGTCTTCACACTTCAGTAGACTCTCCACAAAGTCCTTAATCAGCTTTGATACCACTTGTAGAATTCCATTACTATAGCAGCTTGATAGAGCTCAGAAGCACGATTCCAACGCACCAAAGATTGCAGGAAACGGTCCACTATAGCCAGAGTTACACACAAACATAGCAGTGATAATGACTTGGATGATTTCTGGTTTGTGCTCTCTGGTTTCATACTAGGACGCAATACAAAATAAAAGCACAGAAGAAAGTGTCGACCTGGGTCGCATGTTGAATTTCCTAAACGCGAAATTTGGAGCCTTGAATTTCGCCGAGCGAATTCCATTGACTGGAATTCCGCAGACGAGAATTTCCGCGACAAGAATTCCGTCGACCACCGAGTGTAACTCCCGTGCGAATTCCGTTGACTTCGACACTTCGCTGCCGAGTTTCAAACCGAACGCGACCCGAGATCGATTTCGCCAAACTGTCCCCAATATGTCCCCAAACTGTCCCCAATCTGTCCTGACAAGACACTTTCGGGACACTTGAATCGAAAGTTCTCTAGTTCGAAACTCGTGTGCACCATAACCAGCGCCTGAGCAGAAACTGTCCTGAATCTGTCCTGAGACACTTTCAAGACAGATTTGAAGGTCACGAGTTCGAATCCCAGCGCAGACATTTTGTTGCTCTTGACAGCATTTCCTTCTAACACGCCCCCTTGCTGTCAGGAGCACGCTGGACCAGCCCGGCTGCTGCACAGCATCGGTTGAAGGCTGCCTTGTCGAGTCGCTTCGTGAAGAAGTCCGCGGGCTGCGCCGTTGTAGGGATGTGCTACACCTCCAACTTCTTCATGTGCACCATGTCCTGTAGCCACATGTGGCGACGGTCCACATGCTTCATGCCCCCCTGCAGCCCGCCCGCTTGGCTGAGCTGCACCGCTGACATGTTGTCGACGTACAGGGTGGTGGGGACACCCTTCTTGAGCAATTGAAACTCCCACAGCAGGAACCTTATCTTGCGCCCCCCCTTTCCAGCTTCCACCGCAGCCACAAGCTCGCTCTCGGTGGAGGAAAGTTTGGTCGCACCCTGCAGCTTCTTGGCCTGCCATGAAACGGCAGCTCCCCCAAGCTTGAAGAGGTAGCCTCCCGTGGATGACCAATTCTCCTTGTCGCATGCATCATCCGCATCCGCATACCCTACGAGAGTCAAACTCTCTGGTCCTCCCTTGAACAGCAGCCCCATGTCCGATGAGGCAGCCCAGTAGGAGAGTGTGCGGAAGAGCTCATGCCAATGCGCATCCCTCCTCAGGCGTGCACCTGCTGCAAGGCGGTCGGTCATGCTGCGATCGGCAAAAAGCTCAGCATCCTCTATGACAAAGCTGGTAGAGGAGATAGGGGTGATCGGCTGCTTCTTCGGTGGCACCCCCTTGAAGAACCGCTGCTGCACCTTCGCCACGTATGCATTCTGGTGTAGGAGGAGTGTCTTGTTGGGGTGGTCGCGCACAATTTGCAGACCAAGATAGCCTTCCGAGGATGACATGTATTCCACCACGAGGAAACCTTATCCACCAGCTTTCCTTCAGGTCCGGTCAAGGTTACTCCGAGGTTGATGATGATGCTCCTCAACCCCCCTTCCTCCTCATCAGCCTCATCCAAGTACTCCACATCATAGTAAATGTCTGTGCCATAAGCACCTCAAGCAAGGAATGCAATGCCGTACATATTGTTGCCATCAACCGCATCTGAGGCCGTCATGGTGGATGCGGGAAGCCGAACAGGTGGCATACCCTTGTTGGACCTGCTAGAATGACATGGGGGTGGGGGAGTGGGCTGGAGGGACAGAACCGTGGGTATGGGGTCCTTTCCATGGGTTGCCGCCGATTTCAGGTCCGTTGCCTCTCCTTCCTTGTCTTCATCAGCTGCACAACGTTCATCCGCAGGGACCAACCTCTGGTCCCACATGTGCCAAGCCAGCAGCTAAGGATGGACAGAGAGCTGGCGGAGCCATGGTTGCGTTGCTGCCCGCAGGGTCAACCAAACGATCAAACGGTTGTTCGCCCCCTTACACGGACGGCACTGGGATTATGATGATGATACGTGACGGCGGCTGATTCTGCTCAGGTCCGTGGACCATCCCAAGAACCTCCCCCTCTCGCTTGTCAGGCAGCGGAAGCGTTTGACGAGTGAGTTTGGCTTCTTGGGAGGAGGCGCTCGACGTATCCTCCCCTCCTTTCTCTAGGTCCATGCCTAGCATGCCACTATTTGTGGCTGTCCACTGCACCGCACCAGCATGGTCATTCTCAAGGTGAGTGTGCCGCAGGTTGATCATCGCCTCGGTCCCCACCGCATATGTTGTGAGGTTGGCCGCTTCGTCATTCTCTTCCAACGCGCTTGACACCACCTCAGCAAATGCCTTAGGCATACCGCTGCATGCCACCTCAGCCGCCGTGCCATTGCATGCCGCTGTAACCGCCGTGCCATTGCATGCCACCGCAGCCGCCCTGCCGTTGCATGCCGCCGCAGCCGCCCTGCCGTTGCATGCCGCCGCAGCCGCCCTGCCGTTGCATGCCGATGCAGCCCCTGTGCCGCCGCTCGCCGCTCCACCCGCCATATCGGTGCATGCCGCTGTAGCTGCCGTAAGGTTGCATGCTGCTACAGCTGTTGCACCATTCCTTGCTGGCCCTGGTTTCAGGTCAAGGCAGTGAATGCGGTGGCGGTATCGTGCCGTTGCAGCCACTTGACCTCCTGATGCGATGATGCGAGTGACACCTTCCTCGGTTCGTAGCTTTGCTCCCTTGTCCAAGAGCTGCCCAGGGAGACCAAGTTGGCCTTCATTCCTGGCACAAAGAGGACATCATGTAGGTCACACGCAAGCCGTTGCCCTCCAGCAAAACCTCACCAACACCAGCAACTTCCTGCATAGAACCATCAAACCCTTTGACTGATTTCGTTGCAGATGGGTCACGGATCACCATGAACCACTCCTTGCGGCCGGTCATGTGTTGGGAGCATCCTGAGTCAAGGAACCACAAGTCCTTGTCGTTGGCCAGCAACGTTGCAGCCGAACACGTGACGGTGAGCGCCACGCCCTTCCCGTCTCCTTCAGCTACATTCGCGGCTGCCGCATGCGTTGTATCTTTCTTCTTGTTGGGGCACTTGGCAGCCATGTGCCCCTCCTCATTGCAGTTGTAGCAGCGCCCCTTGAAGGGGGCTCGCTTCTTCCACTTGTCATCCTTCTTCTGGTCCGTCTGCTCCCTTCCCTCTTTTCCTTCCTTCCCGTTGACCCCCGTTGTAGCCACGATGGTGTTGACAGTGCCCGAGAAAGTAGATGCATCGCTGGTGATCTGCTTGTAAGTCTGTTCGATGGATAGAGTCTGCTCCTCCATCAACACCTCGCTGCACACGCGTTCCACCGTCATGTCAGGGTTGGAAATATCGAGCTTGCGGCGAAGAAATCCGTACTCCGGTGGTAGGCCCTTCAGCACGTGGGCGGCAAACCTTGGCCATATGGACCTCCTGTCCAATGGTCAGCAGCTCCGCTCGGATGGTGCGGGCCCTATTGCAGTAGGATTCCGCCATCTCATCATCTCCCTGTCAAAGTTTAGGAGGAAGAAGAGGGCTGCACTAGCAAGAATGAGTATATAAATAGCAAACCCTAGAAGGGTTGTACTCGCTATAGAGCACCCCACTACAGGCTAGAGCATAACATTCTGACACACCCCCATAGCCAAAGTGGGGTGTAATCAGGAGAGTAAGCAAAGCAGAACAAGCTCAGGGTGGATCACAATGTCACCACACATTCTGAGCACAAGTTCAAGAAGCAATAGTTTAAGTTCACAATTATGAGCAAAGCTAGTGGTAGTCACAGCAGGCAAGCGAGGAGGAGGAGGGACTGTGAGAGGAGAAAAGATGGGAGACGACGGCTGAAGCTGTAGGCACACGGGCAACAGGAGCAGCTGGCACAGTGGCTACCGGGACAGCGCCCCGGACTACTGGAGTAACTGGCTCACGGGCTACGAAGAGCTACAGGAGCAACGGACCCACGGGCGACAGGCGCAGCAGGCTCTCTGGGCTACCAGGACAGCGCCCCGGACTACAGGTGCTGCGGACGACAAGACGGCAGTCTCCTCTCAGCCTCCCCAAGCAGTCCCACACCCCCCTACACACACCCCCCAGTTTCACCCCTAGCTCCACTCCCACATCACCCCCATAGCTCCACTCCTCACGGCTCCCACACACACACCCCCCTGAGCGGCAGCTGCAACAGCGGGAGACGAAGGAGGAGGAGGAGCAGGGGACGGCGCACACAATGGGCACCCCCACAACCGCCACCTTCACACTCCTCAGCCCAAAACCCTAAAACGGGTTGCAAGGGGCAGGAGCGCGGGGGGACAGCAAGGGGGACGGCGCACGGCCCCCAGGGCGCCACCACGGGGCAGCAGGGGGCCGCGTGCGGCTCCCAAGGGCGGCGCGACGGGGCAGCAGGGGGTCGCGCGCGACTCCCTAGGGCGCCACGACGGACGGGCGGGGGCAGCGCGCGACTCCCCAGGGTGCCGCGACGGACGGGCGGGGGCAGCGCGCGGCTCCCCAGGGTGCCGCGACGGACGGACGGACGGGGGGAACGCGCGGCTCCCCAGGGTGCCGCGACGGACGGGCAGGGGCCGCGCGCGGCTCGCCAGGGGGCGCCAGGAAGAAGTAAGGGCCGCGCGCCCCCCCCGGGCGCGCGCCTCTCTGGAAAACCGCCGCGCGCAGAAGACGCGCGGCAGGAAGAAAGGGTAGCGCGCCCCGAGCGCGCCACAGCAGTAGAGCAGCGGAAGCTTTAGGTGGTGGGCCCACCCACAGGATCGACCCAAGGGGATCGGCCTGCTCTGATAGCATGTCAAAATTTAGAAGGAAGAAGAGGGCTGCACTAGCAAGAATGGGGATACAAATAGCAAACCCTAGAAGGGTTGTACTCGCTATAGAGCACCCCACTACAGGCTAGAGCATAACATTCTGACACTCCCTTCCTGAGTGGGGCTAACTGGGTCTGAAGTAGGGAAGCGTGGAGGGCATCACGAACTTGATAAGTAAACAAGATATATGCCCATGCTAGCTGCCCAGCTTTCTCTTGCTGAGAGAAACCAGAGATGGACATTCGGATGGGTGGAGAAACATATCGGTTCAGCACCATGAATGCAAGCATTTGGCCCTTTGCGTACTCCCTTTGTTAGAAGGGGCTGTTCAGGCCTGGGCTTGGTGCTGTCCCGTTGCAAAACTGCCACAAATCAGCACACTAGAGCTGAGCTCGGATGGCGCTGACCCATGCGGTAAGGTCGTGCCTTCCCTCCAGCAGCGGCGTCACGGAGATGTGTTCGACTCCAACTTTGAATTGACAGTAGCTCGCCCCGATCATTCCCGTGTCAGTGGTCGGTGCAAGAGCTCCTCCACTAACGCCCACAGCACTTGGAGCCTTGTGCACAGCTCCTCCTTCACTGGTTCTTCCTTGCTGGCCGCTCGCAGGTGCTTGCTCTGCAGCGCGCTCCCGAACCATGCGTAGTAGACGACCGTCCACAATGAGGTCAACTTCCTCATCACGCAACTGAGGGTGGTGCTCACAAACAGACACCTCAAGCTCCTGACGGGCATTCAGACCCTCGGCGCTTTTTAACCACTCCATGCGCACTCAAAACGAGCGTCGGCCACACCAACATGGGAACGAAGTGATGGGAGGACGGGATCAAGCCGCTAGTTGGATAGACGCAGATAACGCAGATCTGATACCATGTAGAATTCAACTACTATAGCAGCTTGATAAAGCTCAGAAGCACGATTCAAACGCAACAAAGATTGCAGGAAACGGTCCACTATAGCCAGAGTTACACACAAACATAGCAGTGATAATGACTTGGATGATTTCTGGTTTGTGCTCTCTGGTTTTATACTAGGACGCAATACAAAATAAAAGCACACAAGAAAGTGTCGACCCGGGTCGCACGTTGAATTTTGTCAACGCAAAATTCAGAGCCTTTAATTTTTGCCGAGCGAATTCCATTGACTGGAATTCCATAGACGAGAATTTCCGCGACAAGAATCCCGTCGACCACCGACTGTAACTCCCGTGAGAATTCCGTTGACTTCGACACTTTACTACCGAATTTCAAACCGAACGCGACCCGAGATCGATTTCGCCAAACTGTCCCCAATCTGTCCCCAAACTGTCCCGAATCTGTTGTGACAAGACACTTTCAGGACACTTGAATCGAAAGGTCTCCAGTTCGAAACCCGTGTGCACCATAACCAGCGCCTGAGCAAAAACTGTCCTAAATCTGTCCTGAGACACTTTCAGGACAGATTTGAAGGTCACGAGTTCGAATCCCAGCGCAGACATTTTGTTGCTCATGACAACATCTCCTTCTACCACTTGTTAGAGACTAAGGACGGAGTCTACAAAGATTAGGGGTCTAAATTTCTCAATATCGTTGGCTTAGAATTCTGGACAGAAATGTCGCGCTCACAAGAAGCATCGCCGACAAAACGTTCACAGTCAAAACTTCACCAATTTCGGATATGTTGTAGCTCTATTCCGTGGCTACAATTCCCTATTTGAATCATACAAAAAGGTGTGAACGAACAAGGAATGATTGCATTGAGCAGCATGAGGAGTACAAGTAGGAAACCCTAAAGTGTTGTACCCCATATGAGCTACCCCACTACAGCCTACACAGACTATAGCATATAATTTTGACACACCCCCATAGGCAAAGTGGGGGAGAACAAGAGGTCACAAGACCAGTCAAGAGAAGCAAAGCAAGCTCAGGGTGGATCACAACGTCGCCACACAATCTGAGCACAAACACAAGGCCAGAAGGCCAGTTCACATGCACAGTTATATATCAAGATGAACAAACAAGGCAATGATCTCAACCTAGCAAGGGTAAGCATGCAAGTGCATGAATATATAGATCACAGTACAAGCAAGGTCAAGAAGTGAGCAAGTGAGGCCAAGTAGGCACAAGGCCTAGCATAGTACAAAAGCGCTGATGATCACAAGGCGGAAGTGCCTTGGTAAAGATATCAGCAGTGTTGGCCTCAGAGGCCACGTAAGCAAGGCCCAGCTGACCGCGGTGCTGCAGCTCATGAGCAAGGAACTAGCGAATAGCAATGTGCTTCGTTCTGTGCTCCAGTCTGTGCTCCCGACACAAGGCCAGCATGGCCTTGTTGTCTACGTACAGAACTGGAGGAGAACGAGGCGGCTCTCCTAGGTCGGTCTGCAGGTAGGTGAGCCAGCGTAGCTCCTGTGCAGCCATGGCCCCTGCGTAGATCTCAGCCTCACAGCTGGAGCCGAGAACAGAGGACGAGCGCGTAGACCGCCACGAAACAGAGCCGCAGCCAAGGCTGCAGGTGTACCTCTGTGACGACCGCTGCGTAGCCTGGTCGTCAGCCCAAGAAGCGTCTGCGTGACCTGTGAGGACCACTGGACGTCGCCCTCCAAGCACTAGCCCCATGCCCGACGTACTGCACAAGTAGCGCAACACCCTCTTCGCTGCAGCCATGTGCTCTGGTCGGTGTCTCCTAGGAGCTACATAGCGTGCCAAGATGCTAGGAGGGTATGCTAGGTCAGGTCGTGTGCAGGTCATCAGGTACATGAGGCAGCCAACAAGCTCTGGGTACGGGCCACTCAGCTCTACGGACTCATCCGAAGACAGAGCTGAGAGCGAGTGGCGAGTAGACAGAGGAGTGGCCTGAGGCAAGGAGTACGTGAAGTCGAAGCGCTGAAGGACCTGCTGCACCATGTGTGACTGAGTCAGAGTAATGGTGCGCTGTGCTCTATCCCGGGTGATCTGCAAGCCAAGGTAGCTGCGCAGTTCACCCATGTCTGTGCACGTGTGTCTCTTCTGCAGCTCAGACTTCAAGTGGGCGAGTCGAGCAGTGTCAGCAGTGGCAAAGACCAAGTCGTCGACGTACACGAGGATGTAGAACGGCGACAAAGAGGTGTCAAAGCGTAGAAACAGCGACATGTCGGCACTAGAAGGAGCAAACCCAAGAGCCGCAAGTGTAGTCCTCAGTGTGTCGTGCCACTCACGGGGCGCCTAGCGGAGACCGTAAACTGGCCGCCGGAGGCTCCACTGGGTACCAGGAGGAAACGACCCAGTGAAGCCAGGTGGGCGGCGCAGCCAGATCTCCTCGTGCAGGCTGCCCTGCAAGAAAGCTGTGCTGAACTCAAGAGAGTGAAGCTCGTAGTCGCGCTGAGCGGCTATGTGCAGCAGCACCCAAAGAGTGGTCATCTTCGGGGTGGGGGAGAAGGTCTGAAAGTAGTCAACTCCCTGCCGCTGACTGAAGCCTTAAGCCACGTAACGCGCCTTGAAGACAGGCGGAGAACTCGGCGGCTACTTCACCCTGAAAA